CCAGGGGGTGATTTGTATGCGTCCTGGGGGGGGGGGGGGCAACGGCTGGAGATGCCCTTATAAGTTTTAAGTTGGGGTGGAACAACTTATGACTTATAAGTTGGGGTGACTTATAAGTCGGGTCTGTTTGATAAAATAAGTCACTTTTTTCACTTTTTGACTTATAAGTTGGTGACTTATTTGGAACCAAACAGGCCCTAAGGCTAGTCATAGTGGGTAGTAACTTAGACTAGTAACATGCATACATTACTAGTCTATGTTACTATCATCATAGTGGTTAGTAACATAAGCATAGTGTCATGCAAGCCTTCATTTATTATGTTGTACACTCATTTTGCATTGGGGTACGTTATGTTACAGTAACATATTATGTTACTACAAGCACCTTTCTCCTCATTAACTCCATGCCATATAAGCATATATATCTTGGGGTGCGTTATGTTACTACCTAAGTTACTCCCACTATGGCTAGCCTAATTAGTTTGCTTAGAAAGATCCGTTCAAATTAACTCCATGCATGGAAAGATTCGTTTATCCGTCAAAACCGGGTGTCTGTTAAACAAATTAGGGTTTGGAACAATGCTCGATGCTCTTGGTGGGCACGGCTGTTATATATTTATAAGAGGGAACGGTACAAATACCGATTATATTACAACACGTATATCTACCACATACTTAGTCTAACACCCTCCCTCAATCTTAACTATGTCCTAAAACACTCAGAAGGCTAAGATTGCGTCGACATCCTTCAAAAGAAGCCAAGGGAAAGGGTTTAGTGAATATATCAGCAAGCTGATCCTTAGAAGGAACAAACTTGATCTGAAGAAGCTTCTGAGCAACACGTTCCCTCACAAAGTGATAGTCAACTTCGATGTGCTTCGTTCGGGCATGAAACACTGGATTGGATGAAAGATAGGTAGCACCAATGTTATCACACCAAAGGACAGGCGGCTAAGTTGGAGAGACCTTCAACTCCTGAAGCAATGACTGCACCCACATGATCTCAGCTGTGGCATTAGCAACGGCCTTGTACTCAGCTTCAGTACTACTCCGAGACACCGTAGCTTGCTTGCGAGCTTGCCAGGCGATCAAGTTAGAATCCAAAGAACACATCATGTCCCCTCGTGGATCGCCTGTCATCAGGACTACCAGCCCAGTCAGCATCAGAAAAAGGAGAGATCAGTCCAGAAGGCGCCGACTGAAGATGAAGACCATATGAACCAGTGTGACGAACATAGCGCAAGATGCGCTTAACAGCTGAGCAGTGAGAATCACGTGACCCATGAAGATACTGGCACACACGGTTTACTGCGAACAATATGTCTGGTCGAGTGAGAAGTAAGTACTGCAACCCACCAACAATGCTGGCGGTACTCAGTGGCATCCTCAGGAGATAGCAAGTCACCAGCAAGAGAGGTCAGTTTGTCTGGGACGGACATGGGAGTCATAGGAGGCTTGCACTGCAACATACCTGCACGACGTAGGAGGTCCTGGGAGTACTTCTTCTGAGAAAGAGTCAATCCGCCATGAGAAGGAAGAACCTCCAGACCCAGAAAATAATGCAGGCTCCCAAGATCCTTAACAGCAAACTCAGCACCAGGAGAGCACACAAGTCGATCCGTAGCAGCAGCAGACGAACTAACAAGGATGATGTCATCAACATAGACCAGAATGTACATAGTCACCTCTAGTCGCTGAAAGATAAACAAAGATGTATCCGCTGCAGAAGGCACAAACCCATGAGCACGAAGAGCAGCGCCAAGACGTGCATGCCATGCACGAGGGGCCTGTTTCAGTCCATAAAGAGCTTTGACAAGACGACACAAATGATGTGGCTGAGCAAGATCAACAAAACTAGGCGGCTGTCACATGTAAACCTCTTCCTCCAGAACTCCATGGAGGAAAGCATTGTAAAC